CCTTCCCTCCCTCTTTTCTTCTGCACTCGATCCCCTACCATTCCCCTCTTTCCCTCTCACTCTCCTCCGTAATATCTCCCTCCTCCTACTTTTCTCTTTCTCTCCAGGAGAAGGGGGTCTGTCTCCGCTGCAAATTACAGACACAAAACGAAGGTGGTGGCGGTGCAGGCGCTGGGAGCTGCCGGTCCAGGGCCCTGTCAGCATTAATGAGACGATGAAGGTTTATTTTGCCCGCATGCATGTGCTAAATTCTTTCTTGTGTGACAGCTGACTGGGAAATGTGAGTGTTAACCTTATAAAAGATTCAGCGGGTTCTCATTATTTTCTGTCAACTCCAGTACCTGATGGCGTTAAGGTGCATCATTTGCATCCCTGACTGGTCCGAGGTGCAGCACCAGCACCGGAGCAAGCTTTTTTTTGTTTCTTTTTTTTCCTCCTCCCCTCTTTTTTTAAACACTGTTTGTTTGTTTAAAGGAGTCATCTTTTTACATACATCCTCCTCGAAAGACGCGCTTTACTCGATGTTCCGAAACGATAGAGATGCCAAAGTTTATTCAAAGGCGACACGCGTTTTTACAAAACATATCTAGATACATATTTAACACGCCTGCTCAATTGAGCGAGTAAATAAAATGTAGCACAATGTTTCCTCTTTTTCCTCCTCTTTGCAAAAGCATGGAAAGCTGAGAAGGCCCAGCAGGCATTATTAGTAGTAAAGCTTATGGACAGGAATCCAGTAATGCACAATGGGGGTGGGGGGTTAAAATAAAGCACATATCTGCAGATAGATTATTAACACTGACAAGTCAGTATGGACTATTATGATGAAACTGCACTTGGTGTCAGTTTATCATGTCTCAGGCTCTATGTAAACCCACTGAAGCTTCTGCACAAAAGACTGATCAGCATAAAATATTTACATCCATACTGGCCTTGAATAATCTGAATTAAATTGAACTGTACAGCTGTCACTCCAGCCAGAGAAAAAACAGTCTACACTTCACTAAAATAGCCCAAGGGTGCCAATTTTGTTTTCTAAGTGGAAGGCTGTTTAATGTGGGTCAATTATAAAGTATTATTAAACCAGGTGAGTGCTGCGGAGACAGGCAGCAACTGACCATTCAGTGTCCATTTCCTGAAAACATCCCCGTTTCCTTCCTTTAACATGGATCAATAGCATCCTCCTACAAAGTCAGTGTGTGTGTGTGTGCGTGTATGCGCGCACATGTGTGTGCGTGTGTGTGTCAGAAAAAGATCGCGAAAAAGGGAAAATGTGTGTGTTTGTGTATCAACACCAGGTTAACAGTTGCACTGGCCCTCAAGTTCTGACCACTTCCTGAAGGGAAAAAAAAACTCTACTTGACCACAGGGACACTTGCTCAAAACCAGCAGAAGCATGTGCCAAATCATTTCACTACACTACACACACACACTTACAGTTACAGTCTATCTCCACTGTCTTCTGCCAAAAAACACATACTCCAGGATTTAGAAACTTAACCAAAAGCCTAAAATGTTAAATTTAAACTCAAAAACACATTTAATTTTAAAACAAAGATGCTCATGTAGTCGATATTAGTGGTTTGTTTGATCCAAAAATGATTTAATGAGGGAAAAAAGAGACATAAAATATCTTCTGTTTCCAGTGTTTTTCCAGTTTTATACTGATCTAAATGAATTAAGACACTCAAACATAAAATGTTG